GGGAGCCGTGGAGTAGTACTTGCAAGGGAGAAAACGCGCGTACTTACTCAATCGGTCCACAACCGTGAGGATGCCGTCGTGCCCGAGCCGGTCGCVAGGAAACGGACCGGTGACGTCCATGACAATGGAGAGACCGGGTTCCCGTGGGATAGGCATTGGGTGTAACTTGCCGTAGGGATTGCGGTTGCGGGGCTTGCTGCGCCGACAAACTTCTCAAGAGTCGCAATACCGAGTGACATCGATAATGAGGTCAGACCATCGGAATCGCTGTCGAAGCCGTGCAATAGTGYGGTTGACTCCGAAATGGCCGGCGAGTCGTGAATCATGGTACTCGCCGAGGAGGCGACTCCGAAGACGACAGTCGCGTGGGACACATAGTAAGTCCTTGCSTCTCGAATGGAGGAGCAAGTACCCGTYGGCAATGCGGTWATGGCTGGCCGGCGGGTGATCCGAAGATAGCTGTGCATAGAGCGAACCGAAGTCCGGATCAGACTGATATGCCCGGATGAAGTGTCGCTGAAGCTCCTTGTCGAATGCGAAGGCATGATGTGTCATAGCGCAAAGATCAGGTCTTCGCGAAAGTGCATCTGCTGCGCGATTGGAGAGGCCGGGGACATGTTTCGGTGTGAAGTCAAATTGGTCGATGAAGTACATCCATCGTCCGATCGTGCTGCTCACTGTGTCCTGCGTCTTGTAGTAGGTCAATGGATTGTTGTTTGTGACCCATGTGAACCTACGACGCCCAAGGAGGAAGTGCCGCCTGTGCTTGAGAGCCATCACGAATGCGAGCAGCTCCTTCTTCCTTGCATCATCAAGCGAGTTGATGGGAGGCACTTTGTGGCTGAAATACTCCACAAGGTGCCAGTCGTCGCCATCGTGCTGTTCCAAGACTGCCCCAATGCCATAGCCGGAAGCGTCCGTAGTCACTCGCGTCGGCAGGGTGGGGTCATAGATGCTAAGGACGGGTGCCATGAGCATAGCCATCTTAAGTGCTTGGAATGACTGGCGTGCGTCGTCATCGAATACCAATGGCACCTTTGGCGACTGTAACCTCGTCATAGGTGCAGGAATCCTGGATTATCCGGTGATGAATCGCTGATAGTAGCCCGCCAACCCCATGAATGAACGAACGTCCGTGGTGTTGGTGGGCTCGGGCCATACTCATAGGGCCTCGATCTTGTCCGCAAGCGGACGGATGCCTTGCGGCGTCACATAGTGTCCCAAGTACTCCAGCTCCTGCTGTGCGAACTCGCACTTGTCGCGGTTTGCTTTGTACTTGGCTTGTCGTAGCCGCTCCAAAACGGTGCGCAGGTGTTCCACATGCTCGTCCAAACTCCGACTATACACCAAGATGTCGTCGAGGTAGATGAGTACRAACCGATCGAGCATGTGTCGGAACTCCGTTGTCATAGCCGCTTGGAAAGTGGCTGGGGCATTCGTAAGGCCAAACGGCATGACCAGCCATTCGAAATGCCCTACCGTGTCTTGAATGCGGTCTTGTAGCGATCCTCCTTGCGAATCTCGAGTTGGTGGTACCCTGACTTGAGATCCAGCTTAGAGAAGAACTGGGCGCCGCCCTATCGCTCGAGAAGGGTGTCGATGCGTGGGAGAGGGCCGACATTCCTGATCGTCTGCGCGTTGAGCTTGCGATAATCGATGCACAACCGAAGGTCCTTGTTCTTCTTCCGGACGAAGAGAACAGGAGCACCGTATGGCGATGAGCTAGGCCGAATCCAGCCTTTCTCTAGAAGGTCGTCGAGTTGTGCCCRAAGCACACTTAACTCTTCCTCCCTCATTCGGTAGATCCAACCACGCGGAGGTACGACCCCGTCCTCGAGGATGAGCTCGTGGCGGATGGGTCGATCCGGTACTGCTCCGTGCGGGCCTTCGAACACGTCGCTGTAGTCGTCGAGAAGCTTGGTGATGCGTGGATCCGAAGGTGAGTCCGTCGATGAAGCGTTATGGGGCGAGAGGGCGTGGAGAAAACACCCCCCCATCTCCTCGATGTCGTCTCTGATGATGGAAGCTCGCATGCTTGCGGCGGATACCACGTGGCAGCTGGTCGAAGGATGAGGAAGAGACACCGTGCATGGAACTAGTACTCCGTTCCGATCACGAATGTGAACGGTGCGGTGGAAAAAGTTCACCGGGTGATCCTCGCTTCGCAGCCATGACATGCCCAAGATCATGTCGAATTTGATGTCCAGAATGTCAAAGGATACCGCCTCACTTGCGTGAGGGGCAAAGTACACTCGGACGTTGTCAATGCACCGGTCGATTGTATTGTGCGTGTGACCGTCCGCCAACGTGACTTGCGTAGGCTGGGACTTCCTCCGGACG